ATTCCCGACTGCAAAGACACTTCGTCCGGCCAGACGAGAGCAAAAGAGGGGATCGCTTCGCGTCACTGTTGTGCGAGTTTGAGTTCAACATTGGCAATACCCAACAACGTCAACAACAAGCTCGGTGAGGTGAGCATATAGCGTATCTTCGATACCAAACCCTCACGCATCGAATGCTTATAAATCTCTAGCCCGAACCCTCATAAACCCCCTCGGCCGAGCCACTTAACTTCGTCACGCCAGGCCAAACACGACAGGGTGCGCCAAAGTCCTCAAACTGTAGATCTCGGTTCTTCGAGGCGAAAAAAAAAGGTGGCAACAGAACAACCGCTTGACTTGATCTGTTCGCAGGAGGCGGTGTTCTACTGCGAGACCTGCTGGGGGCAGTGGGCCACAGACACGGTGACGCTTGGAGGACAGAGCCTGTGTGTCGCTTTGGCTGCCAAAAATCATACATTGAACATCACATCACACTCATTAAACATACTGGGGACTGGTCACAGACGTCTGATGTTGGCTTTGAGCTTTCCAGGTTTGGCTTGCGCAGCTCGCTGCTACTCTGGAGACATCTTTGTGCCCCCTAAACCCTAAACCCTAAACCCTAAACCCCTAAACCCTAAGCCCCTAAACCCCTAAACCCCTAAACCCCCAAACCCCTAAACCCTAAGCCCCTAACCCCTAAACCCCTAAACCCCTAAACCGTCCGTTGCAGGAGACACGCTCCGTGCCCGGTCGCTCTCCGGAGCGGAGTTGGGCGAAAGGGAGATCAGTTTCCTGGCCGGAGTACTTAATTGGGGGGTACCTTATTCCCCACATCATTGTGTTGGGTTTTTACTTTTTGGGGCTGTCCCGCCTCACCTTCTCCTCCTCACTCCTCCCTCCTCCTCCTCCTCCCGCTCCCACACACACATACACACACAGACACACACACACACACACACTCTAAATGCCTCGTCGGCCTGCTCCGGCGGAGGCCGCGCGCAGACCGCGGACAGTCCGCCACTCCGGAAGACACACTCCGGAAGACACGCTCCGGAAGACTCTAAATGCCTC